TCTGGCATCCGTCGCCGCGTCAAGAATTCCCCCAAACACGCAGAATAGGCATACACTGTCGAAAGTCCGTGCGGGCTGCTTGGATCGGTGCCGGAACCGCCTCCCTGACGCGTGGAGCAGGAGCGCGGAGGAGGCGATGCCAGGGGGGCCCCAGCGCATGTCCCAGAAGTCAGCGCGGCCCCCACCCGAGTGCTTTTGTGATTGGTGCGTGTATGTGTTTGTGCGTGTGTGTTTGTGAGTCCCCCCCGGCCGCGCAGGGCTTCCTCTCTCTTTCTCGTGTGCACCGCGGCCCAATTTGCATTCTGTGCGCCCCACTAATGCCACATCGCCAGAGAAGAAACCTCTGCCCAGTCGCCAACGCAAAAAGTGTGTGCGTGTGCGTGTGCGTGTGCGTGTGAGTGTGAGTGTGCGTGTGCATGCGTGTGTGCGTGTGCGTGTGCGTGTGCGTGCGCGTGTGTGTGTGTGTGCTTGCGTGCGTGCGTGCGTGCGTGCGCGCGTGCTTGCGTGCGTGCGTGCTTGCGTGCGTGTGTGCGTGTGTGTGTGTGTGTCTATGTGTGTGTGTGTGTGTGTGTCTGTGTGTGTGTCTGTGTGTGTGGGTGTGTGTGTGCGCCTGCGTGTTCGTGTGTGTGTGCGTGTGTGCGTGTGGTTATGTATGTGTGTAAGTGTGTCTGTGTGTGTGCGTCTGGGTGGTTGCATATGTGTGTGTGTGTTTGCATGTGTGTGTGCGTGTTTGTCTACGCGCGCGTGCGTGTCAGGCTTGCTGCTCTCAAAAACATATAACATATATGTTGCTTTGCTCCTCCTTCTCATTATGATCCCTCCTCTTCTCCTCCTTTGGACGCCCGAGTTATCCGGGGTAACTCGGGTCCGGGGTAACTCGGGCTTGGGTTCCCGAAAAACGAACCCGAGTTAACCCTGACCCGAGTTACCCCTGATGATTTTGGGACTCTGGACGCCCGAATTATCCGGGGTAACTCGGGTCCGGGGTAAATCGGGTTCGGAATCCCGAAAAACGAACCCGAGTTAACCCTGACCCGAATTACCCCTGATGATTCGGGGCTCTGATCTGTTGCCTCCGCTTCTTCTCCGACGTGACCTCTCCACGCCCGCGCCCGCGCCCGCCGCCGAGACGCCACGAGCCTGCCGCGCGTGCCGCCAGGACCCGGCTGCCGAGCGCGAACCAAGGGCCGCGCGAGGCCCCGGGGGCCCTCGGCCTCGGCAGATCAAGGGGCCCCAGGACACACAAATAAATACACACAAATAAAATAATTCCCCATATTTTCTTATATTTTCTGGTTTTTGTCTTCCCGCCCAATTCCCATATTTTCCCATATTTTCTGGGGGATCGACGATTCATTGTGTCTGTGTGTTTTTTCTCCTCCTCGGCAGAGGCCTCCTTCGGCTAGGCTCAGGTCGGGCCTGTCCCCCTAGAGGGGAAATATTCAAACATATTCAAAACATAAGCTGGGGACTACTTTTCAAAGTTTGTTCTTGGGGGGGGGGGCAATTTGGGACTAGTGTTTGAGTATTGTTCGTCGAAAATCCCCCTGCAGGGGGATTTTATTTTCGGCGAAACATAAAAGATACCCCAAAATGATAAATTTCCCGGCAAAGCAACCTAACAGCGATGTGTAGAAACATATATGGAAACATTCCCCTTGAGATCCAGATGAGAATCCAGTTGTAGAATTCTCCTGTTCTCGCAGTCGCAGTCGCGTTCGCGATGACAGTCGCAGTGGCAACGGCAGTCACAGTCACAGCCTCAGCCTCAGCCTGCCTCAGTATCAGCCAGCCTCAGCCTCAGCCTCAGCCTGCCTCAGCCTCAGCCTCAGCCTGCTTCAGCCTCAGCCTCAGCCTCAGTCTGCCTTCAGCCTCGGCCCCGGCCTCAGCCTCAGCCTGCCTCAGCCTCAGCCTGCATCAGCCTCAGCCTCAGCCTCAGCCTCAGCCTCATCCTGCCTCCGCATCAGCCTGCCTCAGCCTCAGCCTCAGCCTGCCTCAGCCTCAGCCTCAGCCTGCCTCAGCCTCAGCCTCAGCCTGCCTCAGCATCAGCCTGCCTCAGCCTCAGCATCAGCCTGCCTCGGCCTCAGCCTCAGCCTGCTTCAGCCTCAGCCTCAGTCTGCCTTCAGCCTCGGCCTCAGCCTCAGCCAGCCTCAGCCTCAGCCTGCATCAGCCTCAGCCTCAGCCTCAGCCTGCCTCAGCCTCAGCCTGCCTCAGCGTCTGCCTCAGCCTGCCTCAGCCTCAGCCTCAGCCACAGCCACAGCCTCAGCCTCAGCCTCAGCCTCAGCCTCAGCCTGCCTCAGCCTCAGCCTGCATCAGCCTCAGCCTCAGCCTGCCTCAGCCTCAGCCTCAGCCTCAGCCTCAGCCACAGCCTGCCTCAGCCTCAGCCTCAGCCTGCCTCAGCCTCAGCCTGCCTCAGCCTCAGCCTCAGCCTGCAGCCTCAGCCTCTGCCTTCAGCCTCGGCCTCAGCCTCAGCCTGCCTCAGCCTCAGCCTGCATCAGCCTCAGCCTCAGCCTCAGCCTGCCTCAGCATCAGCCTGCCTCAGCCTCAGCCTCAGCCTGCCTCAGCCTCAGCCTCAGCCTGCTTCAGCCTCAGCCTCAGTCTGCCTTCAGCCTCGGCCTCAGCCTCAGCCTGCCTCAGCCTCAGCCTGCATCAGCCTCAGCCTCAGCCTCAGCCTGCCTCAGCATCAGCCTGCCTCAGCGTCTGCCTCAGCCTGCCTCAGCCTCAGCCTCAGCCTCAACCTCAGCCTCAGCCTCAGCCTGCCTCAGCCTCAGCCTGCCTCAGCCTCAGCCTCAGCCTGCCTCAGCAGCAGCCTGCCTCAGCCTCAGTTGGCTCCGGGCATTCAAAATGTGGCCCGGGAATGGAGTTCTGGGAACTCGAAGAGCACGAAGTGGCCTACAGTTGGCTCCGGGCATTCAAAATGTGGCCCGGGAATGGAGTTCTGGGAACTCGAAGAGCACGAAGTGGCCTACAGTTGGCTCCGGGCATTCAAAATGTGGCCCGGGAATGGTGTTCTGGGAAGTCGAAGAGCACGAAGTGGCCTACAGTTGGCTCCGGGCATTCAAAATGTGGCCCGGGAATGGAGGTCTGGGAAGTCGAAGACCACGAAGTGGCCTACAGTTGGCTCCGGGCATCCAAAATGTACGCCGGGAATGGAGTTCTAGCAGCGCCAAAAGCGATTTTGCGAGGATGTCCCAAGCGATTTGGGCTTCGGCGGCAGCCGCCCCGGGTCCCGCCCCGAACCCTCTGAGGAGTCATGATGCTCTCTTTTGACACCACTAGAAACCTATCAGTCTTCGCTGTTAGGTAAAAATAATCCAAACATAATCTGGGGACTATTTTTGGGGTACTTTTTGACCTTTGTGGGGCATGTTTGGTGTATGCTTAATCTCTCGTCGAACATCCCCCCGTAGGGGGACAGGCCCGACCTCAGGCTGGGCGTAAGGCTGATCCTGGGTAAGAGTGACCTTTGGTGCGCAGCCCTTGGGGGCGCGAGGGAGCCAAACCCAAGGGCGCGGGCCGCTTACTGACTACCTACCAGACCACCTCAACCCAACCCGAAGACCCGAATTTCGGGTGGGGGGGGGTTATGGGTTCCACAGGTGTCTTTTCGGTGTTCCCCGAACCCCCCCCCAACTGGAAATGGAGGGCAAATTGAGGCCGTCGGGTTGGGTTGGGGTGGCTTGGTGGGTGGTGACTGACATCGCATCGCGCTCGGCGATCGGGGGAAGCCCGAGGAGCCCGCAGCAGAGGTCACTCCGGCGGAAGGTCACTCTTTACGTGCATGCAGTCGGCTCCCGCGTCGGGCTCGTGCCGGAAGCCGACTCCGGCGTCGGCCTCCGACGCCGCGGGGACCGCTCGGCCCTGCACGCTCGGCCGCTGCCGAAGCGTCCACATTGAAGGGGCCCCAGGACACACAAAGAAATACACACAAATAGAAATATGCCCCATATTTGCGCATATTTTCTGGTTTTTGTCTTCCCCCCCACTTCCCAGATTTTCCCATCTTTTCGGGGGGATCGACGATTCATTGTGTCTGTGTTTTTTTTCCCTCCTGACACATCGCTCCACGCCTGACGACTCCGGGTCGCCGGACGAGGTCGGCACGACACGAACCTGCCGTGGACGGGGCCGGAGGATCGCACCGCATCGGCGATGCATCAGCGATGCATCACCGATGCGTCGGCGATGCATCGGCGATGCATCGGCGCTACATCGGCGACGTCGGCGTGGAGCTAATCGGGCCCTGCATCGAACCGCATCGGCGATGCGGCGCGGTCCTCCGACCCCGTCCCGTCTACTCGGACCCCATCCAAGCGGCCTAGAGGCTCGCCGGGCAGTGCCGACGGGGACGCGGTGGCAGGTCTGCGCTGGATCGGATCGCGAATCGGCTCGGATCGAGAGCGGATCGAATCGCCAGCGAACCGTGCAAAAGCGGATCGGTATCGAATCGCCGAGCCTGGGATTCCGGCCGGCCCTGGCCGATGCCGGTGAGTCTAGCCGGATCGCATCAGATCGGATCGTACGCGGCCCTGTTATGATGCGAGTGTATCAGGATACGTTCAAGGAGTTCCAGGATATGTAGCGACCCTCCTCGCTGCAGCCCGTGTGGAAGGCCTGGCAACATCGGGGATCTTGGAACGCATCGTGTTCATGATCTCTTGCTCGCCTCAGAGAGGCATCCACTGGCTTGTGCGTCTGTGCGCTGTGCAACTGGCCGCTGGGCGGCGTGGATGCGCCGTGCCACCGCCGCTATCGAGCAGAGGACGAGGAAGCAGAGGAGCAGAAGGGCAGAGGAGGGATGGCCGGAGGGGGAGGGCACGAGAGAGGAGGCGCAAGGGCGGAGGAAGGGAGAAGGGAGGGGCAAGGGAAAGAGTGGGAAGGAGTGCTCGGGAGGGGAGGGAGAGGGAGGAGTGGGGGGAAGGGGCGGAGCGAGAAGGAGGGAGCAGAGGGGAGGGTGGGAAACAAAAATGCTGGGCGGCTTGTGCACTCTTCGGGCTGACCTGGATGCTGGCGGCACGAGGCTGGTTCTTCAGCAGCGCCAGCTCCCCAAAGTAACCACCCGGTGTGTAGTCCATGACCTGCTTGCCGCCCTTCAGGGCGAACAGAGCGCCCTCCTGGGGCGGACCACGGGGCCATCCGCCAGGCGAAACACTCGCCGTGGGGGCACGCCCCGGCACGGGCGCCCCTCGCGGCGAAACACACACACACACAAAGGCAGAACTCCCCCCGCGCAGTCCAGAAGCCGGGATAAGGGGACAATGTGTTGCGGGCGCCCCTCCGTGAGACGACGTGCGGGACCCCACACAGACCCACTCTGTGATGGAAAGGACGGCGATGGTGGTGATGGTGACGACGACCACAATAGGATGGCGACCAGCGACGGCGAAATACCCGAGGCCTAGAACTGCTCCCCCCCCCCTAAAGACGGCCCAGGTCCAAGAATAGCCCCAGGAAGCCTCGAATATACAACCCTCGACGACCAGGAGACGCCGAAGACCACCCACGCAGGCCGCCGCATTATAAAGTAATAAACCTCTTGGACGACTCAAAACGGCTCGAAGAGGACCCCCCGGAGGCCTCGAAGAGGAACAACTATTCACGATCCTATGTTTGATTGTGCGATGCTCGACTTCTCCGTCTCCAGTCTCTCCACGATGGCCCCAGAGGCCTCCAAGCTCGTCTCAATACTGTCCAAAACGTGCCCCAGCGGGCACCAAGGTGAGCCAAAGTCGACATCAGAGGGGCATGAGGCAGAAAACAGCCAAAGAGGGCCCCAAGACGACCCGCGAGGGCCACTTTTCAAACAGCCGACGAGAATGCCAACCACACGGCCCAGCGATGCCCGACTGCCCGAGAGGACGTCAAGAGGTCCCAGCAGGACTCTGGGCGGGCAGCACGGAGGCCCTAAAGACCCCCAGGACGCCCCACCCCCCGCGACGGCCAGATAGTCACTACATCTAGAAGGGCCAGCGTGCCTCTGGGCACGTGGGCGTGGGCACGCGGGCGTGTCCTCGGGTCCCGTGGCTATCCTTGGAGCCTCCGTCCTCGGTCCTGAGGAGCAGTGATCGGGGGCGGCCAAGAGGGGGGCGTCCAAAAGGGGGGGGGTGCAAATCATGGCCGGCGGCACGTGCGCGGCCCATGGTAGGGCGACGAGATCTATACATATCCACTGCTCCTGGCCAGGCCCATCCTGGGCCCAGGAGCTGTGTATATGCCTCCCTGGCCAGGCCAGGAGGGCGTATACACCGCTCCTGGGCCCAGGATTGGCCTGGCCAGGAGCAGTGGATATGCATAGATCTCGTCGCCCTACATGGGGGGAGGTGGGGACGTATTCAAACAAGAAGAGGCGCCATGAAATCTGGGGAAATATCATGGCCAATGCCATGATATCCCTCCCCCCCTAGTCATCAGCCCCCTCTCTGCCGCCCCCGAAGCAGGGGGCCCGGACCACGAATTCTCAAGTCCACCGGGCCTTCCCGCGTGCCACCTGGGCCCCGGGGAAATAAGTCCGCATGATTTTGAAGGGGCCCTGGGACACACAAACAACTACACACACAAATAAGAGGATGCCCCATATTTTATTTTCCCACATTTTCTGTGTGCTTGTCTTCCCCCCCACTTCCTATATTTTCCCCACATTTTCTGGGGCATGTCTGTGTGTTTTTGTTCCCTTCCTGCGATTTGTTCGGGCCAAGAGGGCCCGAAGACTGGCCAGGAGGGCAAGACTCGAGGCCCCCAAGACGGTCCAAGAGGGCCCCGAGTCGCCGAAAGATCGCTCCAAGACGCCCAAGATGTCCCCCAAATTGGCCCAGAAGGCCTCCAAGACGCCCCAAGAGGCCTCCAATCGACCTCCCAAGAGGGCCCCGTGAAGCAAAACTCATTCATTTTGCGAAGGTTGTTCAAGGATGTTGCCGTTCTCGTCTCTTTTGCTTTCCGACGCTCCAAGATGGCCCAAACAGATGGAAATAACCACAAAAAACATCCAAGAGCGCCCCAGAACGGCTCAAGGAGCACCCAAGACGGCCCAAGAGGGCCCCAGGAGGGGCCCAAGAGAGGGAACACGAAAAGAAAATCCGAGACTTCCGCCCGACGAGGCCCCCAGGAGGCCCAAAGAGGCGCCCATGCGGCCCCAAGGCCCCCAAGAGACCTCCAGCAGGCCCGAAGAGGCATGCAAAAAGCCCAAAAGAAGCCCCAAGAGGCCCCGATTCGGCCCCCAAGAGGCCTCACAACTACCTTCAAGAGAGCCCCGAGAGGCCTCCCACGAGATCCCAATCAACGAACATACAAGGGGCTTCGCACCCACAACCCAGGCACGGTGGCCGGATGGGCCGAAAACCATCAAACCTGGCCCCGCACAGAAACGGAAAGAGCGCTGCAGAAACAGAAACCGAAATTACTCACACCACCGTTCGTACTGGGAGCCTTGGCGTTGAGAGCTTCTTACGTCACCCCTCGCTCTTGGGAGCCTTGGTATTCAGAGATTGTTGCGTTGCCGCCCGT